TATTACAAGGCCATAGTAATCAAAGCAGCCTGGCACTGGCACAAGAACAGCATATAGACCAATGGAACAGAACAGAGCGCCCAGAAACCAACCTGTGTCTTTATGTTCAGTTCATATTTGACAAAGGCGGCAAGAGCATACACTGGAGTAAAGACAGCCTTCAGTAAGTGGTGCTGGGAAAATGAGACAGGTACGTGCAAAAGAAACCAGACCACCAACCTACAACATCTATACTAATAAAAGGGTAATATGCTAATTCGACTGGGAGACCCTCTGGACAAATCCTTGGTGGCCGAGCTGAGAATGAGGCAGTTAAGGGGTGGGGGCAATCAGTATATTTGGGGGTTAGTAGGCCAGCAGGGGTGGTCAGTTGGTGGCAAGCAGGCTGGCAGGCAGAGTGGTCAGGGGCGATCAGGCAGGCAGGTGAGCAGTTAGGAGCCAGTGGTCCTGGTTTGTGAGAGGTAGACATCCCCCAAGGGGTCCCAGATTGGAGAAGGTCTTGGCTGGGCTGAGGGACAACCCTCTTCCCCACCCCCTGATCCCTGCACGAATTTCATGTACCAGGCCACTAGTACAGAATAGTAAACTCAAAATGGATAAAGGACTTAAAATGTAGGCGCCACACCATAAAAATCCCTGAGTGAAACATAGGCAGTAATATCGCTTGAAGCATTTTTGTCAATAGGTTTCCAAGGGCAAGGGAAACAGGAAAAATGAACCATCAGGACTATATCAAACTTAACAGACTTTATTTCGCACAGCAAAAGAAACTACAGGAATGAAAGGGAGCCCACTGCATGTGAGAACACATTCGCCAATGATACAGGTCATAAGGAATTAATTTAAAAAATATGTAAAGAACTCATACAGCTCAACAGTAGGCAGACAAACAGTCTAATTAAAAAATGGCCAGCCGAGCCGAAACTGGTTTGGCTCAGTGGATAGAGCATCGACCTGCGGACTGAAAGGTCCCAGGTCCGATTCCGGTCAAGGGCATGTACCTTGGTTGCGGGCACATCCACGGTAGGGGGTGTACAAGAGGCAGCTAATTGATGATTCTCTCTCATCAATATTTCTAACTATCCCTCTCTCTTCCTCTATGTAAAAAATCAATAAAAATATTTTTTTTAAAAATGGCCAGCCGAAACCTGTTTGGCTTAGTGGATAGAGTATCGGTCTGTGGACTGAGGGATCAAAGGTTCAATTTTCTGGTCAGGGCATGTACCTTGGTTGTGGGCACATCCCCAATGGGGGATGTGCAGGAGGCAGCTGGTTAATATTTCTCTCTCATTGATATTTCTAACTCTCTATCCCTCTCTCCTCCTCTCTGTAAAAAATCAATAATAATAAAAAAAAATATATATATATATTTAAAATGGCCAAAGGGCCTAAATAGATACTTTTCTAAAGAGGACATACAGATGGCCAAGAGACATATGAAAAAATGCTCAAAGTCACTGATCATCAGAAAGATGCAAATTAAAATGACATGAGGTACCATCTCACACCTGTCAGAATAGCTACCATCAACAAACAAGTGCTGGCGAGGAGGCAGAGAAAATGGAACCCTCGTGCACTGCTGGTGGGAATGCAGATTGGAACAGCCACTATGGAGAACAGTATGGAGTTTCCTCAAAAAACTAAAAATGGAATTCTCATTTGACCCAATAATCCCACTTCTGGGAATATAGCCCAAGAATCCCAAAACATCAGTCTGAAACAGTATATGCACCCCTATGTTCCTAGCACAATTCACAGTAGCTAAGATGTGGAAACAACCCAAGTGCCCATCAGCAGAGGAGTGGATAGGAAAGCTGTGGTGCGTTCACACCAGGGACACTGCAGCTGTGACAAGGAAGGATCTCGCCCCTGTGGCAGCTGAAGGGACCTGGAGAGCATCATGCTAAGCGAAATAAGATTGTCAGTCAGAGAAAGACAAGTATCACATGATCTCACTCATATGTGGAATCTAATGAAGAAAATAATGTGACAAGTAAAATGTGATCAGTAGCATGGATATGTGGAATAGACTGGCCAGTTCCTGAGGGCAGTGCGCGGGATGACTGCACAAAGAAGGTGAAAGGATTAGTTAAGGAACATATATACATATCCCCTGCACAGGGACAAGAGTGTGACGAAGGCAAAAAGGGGGGAGGTTGGGGGAGAGGCAGGCATTGGGGGGTGGGGAGTGGGATAAGTCTGTAATTATATCATTACAAATTCTTAATAAAAATATTTACACACTAGAGGCCTGATGCACAAAATTTGTGCAGGAGTAGGCCTTCCTTCCCCTGCTGCCAGTGCTGCTTTTCTCTGACACTCAGGACCCAGGTTTTCCTTGCAGCCCTGGCTTCATCTGGAAGGTCGCCTGGAAGAACGTCTGGTCTAATTAGCATATTAAGCTTTTATTATTATAGATTAGAGGTCTGGTGCATGAAAATTTGTGTACTGGGGGTGGCGGCCCTCATCCTGACCTGCCACCTCTCAGCAGTCCCGGAGCCCTCGGGATGGCCTACTGATGGCTTAGGCCTGTTCCCTTGGACGTCTGCCCTAATTAGCATATTACTCTTTTATTCATATAGATAGTATCATCAATCTTTAGAATTACTATTTCCTTAATTTGCAGTTTTACTACCCTGATTGTCTTGTAATGATCTTTTTGCAGCTTATTTGAGTCAGAATTAAGTTTTTCAAGACTTTGTTCAGTAAGTCTCTTTATTTCTAATGGTTCCATCTTTTGTTGTTGCCATTTTTGTTTAAGAAACTAGATCATATGTCCAGTATTGTGTTTCATGGTGTTGTTTAACATGTTCCACCATGTATATTTACAAAAAACTGATAGTGAGATCCAGTCTTGATCAGATGGACATTTGTGAGTTGTTTATCAAGAACAATTAATGGGTGGCACTGTGTATGTACATCCTGTACCACTGCATCATGTGGTGACTATCTGGTGGTGGTAGTCGTTTGTGACCTTAAGTTTGTTTAAGGTATTCAGATGTGAGCATGATTCTTTCATCATAAAGTTCCCCATTAAATTTTTATCTGAAACAGGAATATCTTAATGGTGAAAATGCCTGCATCCATTATTTAATTAGTTGCTTCAAAACGATATCATTGCTTTGTCATTTCTTCTGTGTATATTATATGGAATTATTGTATAAAGAATAGTTTTCCATTACTAGTTTTTAGATTACCCTAAAATATAGCTTATGCAGGAAGGGTGGTGTAAATGCTTGATTCTTTTCCTTTATGAATCTGCTTTCAGAAGAGCTGTTACCTTTAACAAACTCCACGGGTGCCCAGTGTGGGGATGTGTATACATTCACTTGTGTGTATATTTTGAATCGATAGTTTTAATATATTGTCTGGTGTGTTTCAGTCCATTGCAATCATTATTCTTCCTGGTGCTTAAATTGTTCTTTTTTGGCCAGTGGAATCTCCTCAAGTTGTCTTCTGTATTCTTGTGACATGACTCCCAGTAGGTCTGGCAGCTTTTCTGTTTCTCTGTCGCACGGTATTTGGTGACTATATAGAGAACATGTATAGTCCCTATTGGCATTCACACAAAATCTCTGTGCCTTGTTTCAGCCGCTCTGAAGAGTGGCTCCATTGCTTTGGGGTATTTCTCACCCTCCAAAACTGAAATTCTGCATGTCAGAGAGTTTGTGTTTATATTAAGTCATTGCAAACATACTATGTAAGTTTTATGAAAATCCATACATCCATTTTACACAAGGTAGTAACAGCAAAATAGAAGCTTAATATCATTCATGTAAATAGTCCAAAATGCTTTTCTCTTGGGACAGAGAGGATTAGAGGAGATGGATAACGATAGACATTGATTTTGACATAGCCTAGACCGGTTTGGCTCAGTGGATTTTGACATAATGAGTTTGAAATAGTAATATATCTAGTTATACTTATTTAGTACAAATATGCCCTCAGGCCCAGTCTTAAAGTAAAACTATTCTATTGTTTGTAAGTTGTTTTTTGTTGTTGTTTGTTTTGTTAATCCTCATCCAAGGATATTTTTTTCCATTGATTTTTCGAGAGAGTGGAAAGGAAGGAAGTGGGGGGGGGGGGGGAGAAAGAGAAACATAAATGTGAGCCCTGGCCCTGGAACCTGTAACCCAGGAATGTGCCCTTGACCAGGAATTGATCCCAAGACATTTTGGTGCATGGGTCGATGTTAAACAACACTGGCCTGGATGGTTCTATATTGTTTTAGTCTCTCCCCCAATGAGCCCGGAACTGGAGTTCAGTGCAGTTGGAACTGGGGTTGGAAGTGGCGTTCAGAGCAGTCCGGAGCTTTTGTCTCCTTCCCGCTAGGGCAATCCAGTGGCACAGTCAACAGTCTGTCCTCTGTGCACAACTTGCACGCCTCTGGGACTGCCTTTCGCCTCTCCCCTGAATTCCCGCCTTACAGCCCAGATTCCCTCCGTCTGAGCCTGAGTCCCCAGGGTCTGGCCTAGAACTGGGGTTCAGTGCAGTCGGAAGTGGGGCTCAGCACAGTCCGGAGCTTTTGTCTCCTTCCCGCTAGGGAACACCAGCACCCATCCTCCCCTCCTCTCCAGCTCAGTCCTCTCCCTGTGTGCACTATGTCTCCGTACCTTAGGCTTTTACAGCTCCTCTGATTTTCCTTCTGGTTTTCTCTTTCCTTCTAGTTGTAGAATTTCCAGTCAGTCAACTTTCTTGTAGTTCTGGATAATTTCCATTTTGTATGTTAGTTGTATTTTTTTGAAATTGTTGTATGAGGCTGCTGGTTCCTCTCTATATTGTTTTAATGGTATCAATATAAAACTAAAAAGTTGAGAGAATAAGTGATTTGCTAAAGTCAGGGAAAAAATTAGCAAAGCCAGATATTTTATGAGAGATACTTAGTAGTTTCAAAAGACATATATGAAATTCAGAAGATTCTTTTTCCACAATATTTTTTAACTCTTCTTTTGGTGAGCCTGTTGAAATGAACTAAATACCTTCTTTTTCTCTTTAATTAGAGTCCTAAGAGTGGCCTGAAAGAGAGGATTTATCTAGAGGAAAACCTGGAGAAAAATGAAGTGATTCAGGACACTGTGAGTATAAAACCTGTGAAATGTAGTGCTTTCCCGATACTTAAAGTGACAGCCATTTCTGCTGTTTGGTTTTTGTTGTTTTTGTTTGTTTGTTCGTTTTGAGAGAGAGCTTAAACTTTAAAGCAACTGAATAATGTTTTTTTGATAAATGGAGAGGTGCTCACAGTCAGTATGAGTTAAGTGTTGAATGTTTTTATTGCAGTGAAGCACGTAACATAAAGTTTGCTATGGTTGTTCTAAGTGTGCAGTTCATAGCATTTGTTACCTTCACGCTGTGCAGCAGCACAGCACTCATCTCAGAACTCCCATCTTCACTCAGCTGAGGCTCGCACACTTGACTCGAGATGGGTCATCCTCTCCCTCCAGCCTCTGGCAGCCACCTTCCTGCTTCCTGCCTCTGGGAATGTGACTCCCCTAAAACCTAGGGCAGTGGGATCATACAGTAATGGTCATTTTGTTGACCAGCCTGTTTCACTTAGCATAGTGTTTTCATGATTCATCTCTGTTGTAGCAAGTGTCAGAATGCTTGTCTTTTTTAAGGCTGAATAATGATCCATCATCTGTTTGTACCTCATTTAGTTCACCCATTTGTCAGTGAGCACTTGGGTGGGTTCTTTCTCCTGGCTGTTGTGAATAATACTCCTCTGATCATGGTTGCACACATAGTGTTCAAGTTCTTTCCGGTGTTTCTGTTTTCTTTAATTCTTTATTGTTTAAAATATTACATATAGTATTACATATGTCTTCTTTTCCCGCCATTGACCTCTCTCTGGCCACTCCCACCCCCCAGCACATGCCCTCACCCCCCTACTGTCCATACCCATTGGTTATGCTTATATGCATGCATACAAGTCCTTTGGTTGATCTCCTCTACCCTGCCCCCCACCTGACATCCCTCTGAGGTTTGATGGTCTGTTCAATGCTTTTCTGGCTCTGGCTCTATTTTTGTTCATCAGTTTATGTTGATCATTATATCCCACAAATGAGTGAGATCATGTGATATTTATCTTTTTCGGACTGGCTTATTTCGCTTGGCATAATGCTCTCCAGCTCCATCCACACTGTTGCAAATGGTAAGAATTCATTCTTTTTTTTACAGCTGCATAATATTCTATTGTGTAGATGTGCCACAGTTTTCTAATCCATTCATCTGCTGATGGGCACTTAGGTTGTTTCCAAATCTTAGCTATGGTGAATTGTGCTGCTATGAACACAGGGGTAAATATCCTTTCTTATTGGTGTTTCTGGTTTCTTGGGATATATATTCCTAGAAGTGGGATCATTGGGTCAAATGGGAGTTCCATTTTTAATTTTTTTTTTGAGGAAATTCCATACTGTTCTCCACAGTGGCTGCACCAGACTACATTCCAGTGCACAAGGGTTCCTTTTTCTTCGCATTCTCATCATCACTTGTCGTTTGTTGATTTGTTGATTATTGCCATTCTGACAGGTGTGAGATGGTACTGCATTGTCGCTTTGATTTGCATCTCTCTAATAATTATTAATAGTAACTTTGAGCATGTTTTCATATGTCTCTTAGCCTTCTGTATGTCTACTTTCAAAAAGTGTCTATTTAAGTCCTTTGCCCATTTTTTTATTTGATTGTTTATCTTTCTTGTATTAAGATATATAAGTTCTATGTAAATTTTAGAATTAGGCGCTTATCAGATATAATATTGACAAAAATGTTTTCCCATCCAGTTGGCTTTCTTGTTGTTTTATTTTGATGTAGTCCCATTTATTTATTTTCTCCTTAGTTTCTATTGCTATAACATCTATCTGATATTTTGCTGCCAATGGATTCTTCTAAGATTTTTATGGTTTCCCGTCTTACCTTTAAGTCCTTTATCCATTTTGAGTTTGTTTTTGTGTACGGTGTTGGTGGTCTAGTTTCATTTTTTTTGGATTTATCCATCCAATTTTCCCAACACCATTTATTAAAACTGACTTGACTCCATTGTATGCTCTTGCCTACTTTGTCAAATATTGAGTATAATAATATCCAGTATTGTGATCCCTCCAACTTTGTTCTTCTTTCTCCAGATTGCTGCAGCTATTTGGGGTCTTTTTAAAATTTCATACGAATTTTAGATAGTTTTTTCTAGATCTGTGAAACATGCCATTGGTATCTTAATGGGGATTGCACTGAATGTATAAATTGCTTTGGGTAGTGTGGACATTTTAATGATGTTGATTCTACCAATCATTAACACAGTATATTCTCCCATTTGTTTATGTCTTTCTCAATCTGTTTTTTCAATGTCCTGTAGTTTTCCGAGGACAGGTTTTTTACCTCCTTAGTTAAGTTTATTTCTAGGTATCATAATTTATTTGGTGCCATGGTAAACGGGATTGCTTTTTTAGTTTCTCGTTCTGTGAGTTCTTTTTTTTTTTTTTTTTTTAATAAATCTATATTGTTCAGATTATTACAGATGTTCCTCTTTGTTCCCCCATAGCTCCCCTCCACTCGGTTTCCACCTCAACCTCTGCCCTTACCTTCCCACACTGTCTTTGTACGATTCTTGTCTTCCTGCACCCCCCATGTCCCCTTCCCCCTGAGAATTGTCAGCCCACTCCCTTTTTATGCCTCTGATTCTATTATATTCACCACTTTATTCTGTTCATCAGATTTTTTATTCACTTGATTTTTAGATTCACTTGTTCATAGATATGTATTTGTTGTTCATAATTTTTATCTGTAGCTTTTTCTTCTTTTTCCTCCTCTTAAAGAATACCTCTAAGCATTTCATATAATACTAGTTTGGTGTTGATGAACTCCTTTAGCTTTTTCTTATCTGTGAAGCTCTTTATCTGACCTTCAGTTCTGAATTATAGCTTTGCTGGATGAGTAATCTTGGTTGTAGGTTCTTCCTATTCATCACTTTGAATATTTTTTTCTATTCCCATCTGGCCTGCATAGTTCCTGTTGACAAATCAGCTGACAGTCATATGGGTGCTCCCTTGTAGGTAACTAACTGTTTTTCTCTTGCTGCTTTTAATATTCTCCCTTTGTCTTTTGCTCTTGGCATTTTAATTATGATGTGTCTTGGTGTGGTCCTCTTTGGATTCCTTTTGTTTGGGATTCCTTTTGTACACTTCTTTGACTTGTAAGTTTATTTTCTTCACCAGGTGGGGGAAGTTTTCAGTAATTATTTCTTCAAATAGGTTTTCAGTATCTTCATTTCTCTCTTCTTTTGGGACCCCCATAATTCGGATGTTGGTACGCTTGAAGTTGTCCTAGAGGCTCCTTACACTATCTTCAAACTTTTGGATTCTTTTTTTTCTTGTTTTTCCCGTTGAGTGTTTTTTGCTTCTTTGTATTTCAAAACTTTGACTTGATTCTTGCTATCCTCTAGTCTGCTGTTAGGTCTCTATAATATTTTTTATTTCAGTTAGTGTATGTTTAATTTCTTTTTCATATCCTTGAGGGTCTTGCTAAATTTTATCAGCATTTTCTAGGAAATTGTTTAAAAAAAAAACCTTTTAACTGTGGTTTTGAACTCTATATCCAGTTGTTTGTTTTCCTCCATTTCTTTTGTTTGTGATTTGTTTCTTTGTGATCGCATTTTCTCTGCTTCCCGGAGTTGGTAGGGTAGCTTTGTGTGCTAGCTGTCCTATAGGGCCCAGTGGCTCAGCCTCCACAGTTACCTGAAGTGGACATTCTTAGTGCACCCTTTGTGGACTGTGTGCACAGCCTTGCTGTATTTAAGTCTTGATTGTTGTTGGTATCATTGGGAGAAATTGACCTCCAGGCCAATTGGCTGTGAGGATCAGCTGTGTCCATGCCAGGAGAACTTCTGTGCTGGATATAGCCTTATGAGACAACACTTGCAAAATTGCAAAGCCACAATTTCAGAGTTTCAGGGCTGGGCAGAGTTTCAGGGCCTTGACTTCCCATCAGCCTTGCCTTATGAGGCCCCTAGGCTTTAATGTCCTTTGGTAATTGCTGCAATCACTTCTGAGAAAAAGCCGCCCCTGAGTCTTGCCCACCATCAGACAGTCCAGTTTCTTCTCCAATGAATCTGTATTCTCAGATTCTTTCCTGAAACTGGAGTTCAGCGCAGCCATGAGCCTCTGTCCCTGTCCCGCTAGAGAAAGCCACTGGCACACTCAGCAGTCTGTCCTCTCTGCGCACTTGCAGCTCCCCCGAGTTTCTGTGCGCTTTTTCTTTTCCTGACAGACCATATTTCCCCCATGTGAGTCTCGGTCACCAGGGTCTCGCTCAGAACTGGGGTTCAGTGCAGTTGGAAGCTTCCTTTTCCCTCCCACTTGAGAAAGCCAGCTAGGCACTCAGCCGCCTGTCTTCTCTGCTCACATGTCTCCGTAACACAGCCTTTTGTAGCTCTTCTGAGTGTCCGTGTGCTTTTTTCTTTCTTCTATTTGTAGAATTTCCACTCAGCCAGCTTTCCTGTGGTTCTGAATGATGTCAATTTTGTCCTTAATTGTAGTTTTGAAATTGTGCCAGGCAGCAGTTTAGGTGTTTACCTATGCCGCTATCTTGTTTTTTCTTCTCTTTAAGATTCTTTCTTTGTCATTAATGTTTGCCAATATATTTAGGACTTATTTTGGTGTAGGTCTTTTGGGGTTTATCTTGCTTGGGATTCTCTCTGTTTGTGTGACTGTTTCCTCCCAAATCAGGGACATTTTCTGTCATATTTCTTCAAATAGGTTTTCTAATCCTTGTTCCTCTTTTTGTCTTTCTGGAGCCTCTATTATATGTATGTTACTTCGTTTCATGGTTTCCTAAAGCTCCTTTAAGCTCTCCTTCGGCTTTCTAATTTTTTCCAATATCTCTTTATAATCCTTTTAGATTGTGTGTGTTTTTCTGCCCTGTCATATCTTTTAACTCACTAATTCAGTCCTTCGCTTCTATTCTACTGTTGAAACCTTTTATTTTGTTTTTATTGTATCTATATAATTTTGTATTTCCTCTTGATTTTTACATAAGTTGTTGATTTTTCTCCCCCTGTTTATGAACTGTATGGCCTTTCTCACATTGC